AACGCCGAGTGGCCTGGATGATGGAAATGTTAATGGTAAAGGGATGAAGAAGAATAATACTAGGAAGCGCGACACCATCCAGCCAGTGCATACAGGTACAGATGATGGTCTTATCCGCCGACCGAACACCCGCGCATCAACTCATCGGCTTCAGACGGAATCGGTCGTGAAGCCGATTCAAACAGTCGTTGAAAGTGGAGGAGGAAGGCATGGGAGGTGGACTAAGGTGATTGAGCTCAAGGAGCCGCCTCAGAAAAAAAGGAAGATGAATAGCTGAAGCCTGGAGAAGGGTTTGGAGCTGGAACTGAATAGATACATCTCAATGTGCCATTTGCGGAGGTGCCTAAGAATACAATATCTAGCTACAGCATCCCCCAGAGCGCCAAACTACACGTGTGATCAAACACGAACGGAAACACATCTACGACATCATCAGGGACGTCTTCCCAATAGCAGGGTACGGGTCGGCGCACAAGTCAGTGGTACAGAGGCAGCATTATTGAGTGCTTGATGTTGATGCCGCGCTCGACCCAGTCTACGCGCCAAGTTGCCGTTGAAGAGGCGAGGATTGTCGGAACCCAGGGGCCGGACTTGCCGTTGTTGCTAAGTGAGGTGCTGCTACTTTTTCCGCAGACATTGCTTACCTGTTCCAGCCCAAGCTATGGCCGGCGTTGATATCGGCGAGGTAGTGATTGTGATTACGATGGATGAGTCGTGTCCTGATCTCGCTCGGTATCTTGCTCATAGTTGTAGTCAGCTCCGGAGTTGTTGCCGCAGTCCAGTGTTGCATAAACGCCCGTAATGCAGGTGACAGTGTCGGAAGCGAAAGGTGGTGTTGCGCAAAAGTGAGTATTGTGCTACCCTTGGGCTCATTCGGTCAGTCTGTGCCGAATTGCCGCTGGGAATGCTGGGGAGGACTTGGGCGGCTCCGCCGCGTTGGCCGTGTCGAAGCCGGAACTTATGGGTGAGTCGCCGTGGTGCCTGCCGCTGTCCCCCACTTACTTTTCCACTTGCCGCCAATCTGCCGGTGAGACGGAGAGGGATTTTGGTTCCAGGACTCGGGAAGCGGCTCCGCGTTGGCAGCGGGGTGGTCGTGGTCGGCCTTCACGTAGACGCTTGGGTCAGTGTAGATGCAACGTGATTGTTGGAAATTGGTGTCAAGCCATTGATGGATAGTCTGAGCCCCAGCTGAGAAAGCCGTCGTCTGTGAAGTTGTTGTCGTGTTGGTGAGTGACTGTTCCCGCTGTCTTGATATTGTGCTGAGCAATTGTCGCCGCAGCGAGTTGTAGAACTTGAAGATATTGTTCCGCGTGGGTCCCGATCGGCCATCGATCAGCCGGGCCGTATCTCGCACGTGCACGCCGAAGAGTCTGCATTTCCCTATGGACTTCATTTTACTACAGTTTCTGGCTCTTTTACTACTCACTGTTCCAATAAGTAAGCAATCAGACAGAATTTTTGATGGTATCTACCTACATCAATCTTCAACCTTGGTCTATCATTTTAGCCAATTTCAAGTATTGGCTCCTAAGCTATATAACATTCTTTCAGGAATGTAGTCTATAAAAGTTGTAAATTTCGGCTATATTACTGCTTGCCTCTGCATAACTCAGGATATTAATTTGTGTTTTTCAACCAAACAAAGAATGGCCACAAAACAAAATTTTATGTTTAGAAATCTTGTTTCTAGGGGAAGCCATGAGCTGAATTTCATACACTTAGGTGGTGTTACTGTAGCAGAATCCTAGAATTTCATGCATTCTTCTCCAGTTTGAATCTTTTGTTCCTAAAAGAGCAGATTCTTGTCTAAACAAGTCCAAAATTTGAGGAAGAATGCAGAATTTGTCCAGGTAGTCATCACTAAGGTATTAAATCTATAGAGTAACAGGGGACTATATACAGACATTATTGGTGCTTACTTATTGGAACAGCAAGTAGTGTAACCAGCTCTACTGGCGCCATTCAACCCTACTATATACCGGGTCTTCAGCCTGAAGAAAAGGAGTTAGCATTACTATATATAGTACTGTTAGCATCATATCTATTAATTTGATGTATTAACAACCAATTTATTAAAGTTTTTCTTGGCTGGAAAGCATCTTCCTAGAGCTTTAGGCTATAGCTATCTTAGCTGTTCCTAGAGCACTAGGCTAAATCCTATACCTATAGGTGCTAATATAATATATCAAGATATAAGATGTTATGTATTGCACTTTTAGGCTATAACCCCACCTGTAGCTGTAATATTTAGCCTCCTGCCTTAGCAGTTGCTAACAGGACCATTGCCTAAATAGCTAGGTTTTGCTAGACTAGCAGCTGCTAGCAGAATTAGGCTGAAATTTGCTTACGATGTCATCAGAAATCAGTGTTGATACATCAAATTGATTGATATGACTAATATATTACTATATAAAGAAGTTTAACTCCTTTTCTTCAGGCCAAAGACCCAGTATATAGTGAGGAAAGCCTGTATCAATTCCTGTCCTAATTGGGACACATATGATGTAGCAGGATACAGCCATGCTCCCACACATTCTATCTTGCTTCCCAATCATGACCATCGAATAACGATAGCAATTACAGGTGGGCAAGAGTACGAGAGCTGAAGGCGGGACATCGGAAGCCTGAGGGTGGCCCACATAGCCTGACACTAGCATACTTTGGCTCCGATTTGTGACAGGACTGCTGACTCCCAAGTGAACAGTACTATCTAGACATTACCCACGAAACACACCCCTTCTGCCAATACCAAATACTTGCCCCCCGTCAGCAGTGCCAGTATTATTGCCTTCATACTCGTCTGGATCCTCGCCATTGTTAACTATGTGCCTGCCGCCAAGTTCTCGTCACCATCGCCATGAAGCTCTTGGGGCGTCGCTAGTGCGCTCCCCATGCAACAGTCAACAGGGAGCGTGCCCACACGATAAGAGCTACTTGCAGGTGTGTTGTTCGTCGGTTGGATATTGAAGAATAAAATTTAAATATCTATAAACCACAGGGCAACCCGTCCACTGGCAGCGCCCCACTAAAGCTACCATTCATGCATTCCAGGCCTGGTAAGCCGCTGTGTTCGTCAATATTATCCACCTCGCGCTGACAGGGACTCTGTGCAGAATTCCTACTCGCTGGGGACAAGAACCTCGTGACACTCATTCGCAGGATCCAGAATGAGGTTTACGTGTGCTACATCACCGAATGTGCTAGCTCTGAACTCTTTGCCGCTGCACCCCAAGTCCGGTCCTACGCCATTGCATAATGGTCTAATGACCAGCATCCGCGGCCACATACGGCCTCGTAGTCCAAAGAGGCCTCGCAAGAATCAAGACTGCAACAGCTGCTGCCCCGCAAGCACAGTTTTCGATGCCAACTTGAACTTGAAGCAGTCAACAGAGAAGTCACAGACTACAAGAAAAACTTGGCTAAGAACTCGAAGAACAAAATCTGGTAAATTCGTCAGTTGTTTCTCGTTCTCAAAGACGAACTTATCGTTGCAGGAAGCTGGCATCATGGTTCTTGGGAGAGGGCCAAAAGTGGCTCAGGAGTGCCTTGCGTCATTTGGTGCACCATTGACATTGCAGACGAGCATCAAAACTGGGGACTTCGAGGCTGGAAATACCTTGAGGAGGAGGAGACCAAGATGCCAAACGGACTGGAAAATGGGTTCGTCATAGGGCTAAGTGCTGCAAAAAATGCTGATCATTCTTTAAGTTAGTGGTGAATGTAGACATAATATTCATGCCACACTCCTCTGCTTCGAACTATTTTGACCCTCCCTCAGTAAATGCTCCTGAGCTTATATTGGACAAATGGGCGCCGGCTCGATATATTCTGTTGACTCCATCACGTCCGCCGCTTCACCAACCAACCTATAAGAAAATCTTCCTTGTCGGCATTTGCAGAATGAACACCCTTCCATTCTGATGCTCCTCTCAGTCAATCCATCCAACCTTGCCGAATCAAAGTGGATAGTCGGAGAAGAGTGAGCCAGAAGTTAATGAAGACGGTTCGACATTGGAGATGACTCAGACAACAAAGAAAAGGAAGCAGACAATGGCCCTATAGAACAAGCAGAGGAATTAGGTAAGCTTGTTATTGAAGGCCAGCCTGTCAAACCCTGGGTTCAAGAAACCTTTTTCTTCGCCATTTAAACCTTTTATTCTGGCCCTGGTTGATAAGATAAGACAAGGAGGAGATAAGATAGCCGATAAGATGGTGATTGGATCATCAGATGTCGATGCTGATGTTGATTGACAGCGTGGAGTTGGACATGAGGCAGACAGCACGTAAAGGCATGGCTAAAGTATGATGTCATTGCCTCTTGTATTAGGCATGGTAAACACATGGTAGTAGTGTATATAAGTAGAGTAGATTTCGTCTTGTACCCCAGTCTTCGAATTCCATCATCTTTACGATATCTTTTCACAGTGCTTCTTGCTAGCCTTCACTGGCCAACTGGCATCCTCTGAATTGGTGTTGTTTGTGACACAGCCTGCCCAAAGCAAAAAGACCAAGTCTGACAAAGATATCGTTTTCCATCATGCCATTGACACATTCTGGGTCTAACGTCAGATTGCAGAATTCTATTCTGACCCAGTCGTGACTGCGAGAACCAACTGATCCAGCTCTTTGAATATCAAAGCTTCCATGTCACAACCAGATTCCTCAAGAATTGCGATGTCATCGTCTGGTGCACAAAGCTCATGCGAAGTAATGCTGATGAGCGGGTTAACGTGGAGGTTGCGATGAGGGAAAGGGGCGTGGGTTGGATTCTTCGCGAGCTTTGGGGGATCGTCAGGCTGGCAAATCCAAGCCGTCCGATGCTATGGACGTCGATGAACAGAAACACGACGTGCCCAAGACCGCCACTCTAGCCCCTCGAAACGGACCGTGGATTCGGTACCCATTGCGAGCATTCCTACTTGGGCTCAACGCGCTTTGACTGTCCCACGCCTCACTTGAACATATGTTGTTCCTCATGTCCTTCCTAGACGAATGTCGCTATGCTCATCCTCAACGAGCTCGGCAAACACCGCGACAAAGAGACAGGAAAATTCAACCTCGATGCCTTCAAAATCATTTACATCGCCCCGATAAAGGCGCTGGTGCAGGAGATGGTCGGCAACTTCTCGTCCAGGCTGAAGGTTTTCGGCATCACCGTTGGAGAACTGACTGGCGACTTCGCAAATGACGAAACAGCAAATTGCAGAGACTCAAATTATCGTCACGACGCCCGAAAAGTGGGACGTCATTACACGGAAGAGCACAGACAGGTTACACAAATCTCGTGCGACTAATCATCATCGACGAAATTCATCTGCTGCACGATGAACGAGGGCCTGTTTTGGAGAGCATCATTGCTCGAACTATTCGACGGATGGAGCAGACAACTGAGTACGTCCGCCTTGTGGGGTTGTCTGCCACTCCTCCCAATTATCAGGATGTCGCCACCTTCCTGCGTGTCGACGACAAGAAGGGTCTTTTCTACTTTGATTCGACCTACAGGCCTTGTGGGCTGCAACAACAGTTCATTGGTGTCACAGAGAAGAAGGCAATCAAGCGATACCAGATCACCAACGAGGTCTGCTACGAGAAGGTGCTGGATCAAGCGGGTAAGAACCAAACCCTGGTCTTCGTGCACTCTCGCAAAGAAATCGCAAAGACAGCCAAGTTTTTGCGCGATATGGCCGTCGAGAAGGAAACGATTACCCAATTTGTCAAGCCTAACGCTGCCGTCCGCGAAATTCTAGCCGAGGAGGCAAACAACGTCAAGGACAGCAATTTGCGCGACCTTCTTCCTTTCGGTTTCGGTTTTCATCTGGAATGTCTCGTGAAGACCGTGGCCTCGTTGAAGAGCTGTTCGCCGACGGATCCTTGCAGGTCCTTGTTTGTACTGCAACACTCGCTTGGGGAGTCAACTTGCCGGCGCATACTGTCATCATCAAGGGCACCCAAATATACAACCACGAGAAAGGGCGTTGGGTCGAACTCTCTTCTCAAGACGTGCTCCAAATGATTGGTCGGGCTGGTTAACCACAAAATCACAAAGCACTCCGAGCTGCAATATTACCTGAGTCTGTTGAATCAGCAGCTCCCGATCGAGTCGCAATTCGTGTCTAAACTGGCCGACAACCTCAATGCAGAAATAGTCCTCGGAACGATCAGAAACCAAGACAAAGCTGTCCAGTGGATCGGCTACACCTATCTGTGAGTTTTTTTTAAAATGTTGTTTGGATTATCTAAAACATCCTTCAAGGTATGTTCGCATGCTGAAATGTATGGTGTCGGGGTTGACTACCAAGACGACGATGTCGGGTTGATCCAAAAGCGAGCCGACATTGTCTATTCTGCCGCCGTTCTGTTGGAGAAATGTCAGCTGCTCAAGTACGAACGGTCATAGGCCGATTCCAGAGTACTAAGCTTGGTCGTATCGCGTCGCATTACTACGTGACCTACAACTCGATGATGACCTACAACCACCATCTGCGGCCAACGATGTCGACCCTCGAACCTTTCCGTGTCTTCGCGTTGTCAAATGAATTCAAGCTTCCTGTTCGACAAGAGGAAAAGCTGGAGCTGGCGCAACTTCTCGAGAGGGTCCCGATTCCTGTTAACGAGAGCGTCGAAGAGCCTGCTGCGAAGATCGATGTTATCGTACAGGCATATTCGCAGTTGAGGTCACTACTAGCAGACGGTAAGCAAGAACGATCGCTTGTCCTGCGATACTAATATTCAACCTCATTCCTGCAGAAAATTTCCCTCCACCTTCCGTACAAGCTAGTAACAGGCGACTCTCCGCTGCTGGATCACCTATCGTTTCTATGAGGACGACGAGGATCTTTGTCCCACCACGAAACTGCCAACTGGTGGCTTGTTGGCGACTCAAGCTCACGCAAGTTATTCGCAATCACGCTTGCGTAGAGTCTAGCTGTCACTTGAGAGCCCGGCATCAAACCACGACATCAGTCTGGAGGGTGAAGTTGAAGATAGCTACCGCGAGGACGACAGCAGAGACGAGATAGATCTGTCCTACACATGTATCATATATTTCTCAGTTAGTTCTTGCTCCTCCTTGGCTGTGATGAGTGAGACTTGAAAGTGTTGACAACTGATCAACGTTTCTGCCCGCCCGGCCGATCCGTGACACTCCTCTTCTGCGCCGCCACGTTCACCAGTCCCAACCATATGCATTCTCTACTCGTTCAGCTTGGAGTCAACCGTGACAACTCTCTACTAGGCTGTTGTCCAATTAACCTCAAGCTTCGGCTTCACGTGCCAGTGCAGCAATACAATTTGCTGCGCAACCTTCTTGTTTTCAACGTCCATCCTCCGAGTCAGGCCACAGCATCCACACTCTCTGGGCCTCCTCCAGTCTTGGTTGTCGCGCCTTAGAACAACCATAGTCTGGTGCTCAACACCGGCAGTTTGTATCTCAAGTATCAACAATGCCACCGAAAAGGACGATTCGCCGCAAAAGCTTGGCCCGGAGAGCCACAGAGCACTCTACTAGACCCAAGTCAGGCCTTATTTTTACAACAATCTCATTCGCTTACCAACTCCTTTCCAGTAAGAGACGCAAAATGACCCCGCCACACGAAGACGACTACAAGTTGGGTGACCTCAATCGACGACAACGAGCTATTAGCCGTTTCCTTCAAGATCACGATTGCACCCTTCTCTCGATAGCCCAATACCTTGGCTATGACTCGGGTAAAACTGCGAGCATATTCCAATGTCGCGAGAATAAAAACTGGGCTATCGACACTGTGGAAAACGATGCAACGTGGTTAGAAGGGTGGGACTACAAGGCCGCTCTAGCCATCACTCAAAAGTATATGGACGAAGCCAAACATGTGCGTTGTACAGTACTGTACTGTGTGTTGACATATCTGACTTTCTGCAGAAATGCGGAACATTGAATAAGATCGACACCGAGAGCGAGGAAGTCAGCGAAGAGGATGAAATTGAGCGCGAGGATAGCGTCGAGTACGAGAATGGCGTCGAGGGCCAGGAGGATGAACTCGATAACGAAGATGAAGCCCAGCGTGAGAACGGCGGCGAGAGCCAGGATGAACTGGAGTATATGGATGAAGTCCAGTGCGAGAATGGCATCGAGAGCGAGGATAACGTCGGGTGCGAGAATGGCACCACGCTGCAGGCTTTCAACCAAGGGGATGGGCAGACAAATGGGCAATCCAAGAAGACCGAGGGAAAGCAGTGCAACGTGAAGAAGGAGGAGGCTATCGACCCCATTCTCAAGATTGAGAACGTGGAAATGGGAGTGGAGCATAATCCAGCCTTGGATGCGGTCGCGATTGCCTCTGCAACTGTGCAGCTAACTCCCACCGACTACACCAACGACAACAATATTCGTCCGACTTTGCCGTGCCATGTTATGCCGCCCGTTGCGAACACTCAATCGGGGCACGCACTCACCAACAACACTGCACTGACCCCCCATACGCCCACCAATAGCAACGGCCCTGTGCCAATCAAGAGCCCTTCGCCTACGCCGGCCAACGTCCCTACTCCTTCGCCAACCAAGAGCCCTTCGCCAACCCATGTCCCTTCGCCGGCCAAGGACACCATGCCGACCAATATTACCATGCCAACCAATACTACCGTGCCGACCTACTACCGTGCCGACCAATACTACCGTGCCGACCAATACTACTGTGTTATCAACCAATCTATCGCCCGCCGCCAACGACTTGAATCCTCCGACATTGACTGCTTTTCTAGTCAATATACAACCAGATCTTTCTTCCTATCTCGACCTCCTCAATAGCTGTGGAATTTATCAAGTGGCCGATCTTGCGTTCCTGGTCGGTCGTGATTTGATGCAAACTCGAATCCTCGTCGAGCGTTTATTACACCTCCCATTCAAAAAACTGGGTGAACTATCAGGAGTGTTCGTCAACCCAGTCATGAACAGCGTAGAATGTCTTGCACTCGCCCAGGCAATTCTTGCCTCACCTTCCATCGCAACCACACCAGAAGCACACTGGCCAGCAGAAATGTCTGCTCTTGCAAATGTTTTGCACCAAATCCATCCGAAACTGGCACATTTTGTTCCTCTCCTCCGTCACTGCGGCATCAAACAACCATCGGACTTGTATTTGTTGGTTTCAGGGGATTTCGTCGGCACGTACACCCGCATCGAAGGTGTCTTCTATCTACCCATGAAGAACTCCGTCGAAGAACTCGTTGCTGAATATGATGGGCCTCCGATGTCCAGAGTTGAATGTCTTGTACTCACCAACTACGTTATGAAGCTTTTCCGACAACGTTCTACTAGAGAGGCATGGAGGCAATGCTTTGGGGCTTGAGATCTGTAATTACCTAGCTATCTTGTTGACTCATCGATATCGCAATCAAATTTATCCAGTTGACATTTCAAGACATGGTTGTGAAACTCAGTGGCCAATAATGTGGCTATAAGTGAGTTGCAAACCATAATAAGACTAATCATTCTGACAAAATTTATGACCAGCTCACAAGCCACTTGGGATCACCTTACACTCAGTGACAAGGGTTTCAGTATGCTTGCGAGACACTTGCAAGGGTTTGTGCACATCAAAAACTGTTACAATGAACCGACTAATTTTGTGATGATATGTTTATCCTGATTTTCTAAGTATTTAATTGATTTTGATTCCTTCAGGTGATTCAACTATGCTTCCCATTTTCAGTTTCTTCTTGACCCTATGCAATACTATGCTTTCCATTTTCCTATGAAATATGGATCACTATAAAAGAAAAGTTGGGATGAATAGGTGATTGCCATTGAGACCACCCAATAAGTTCAACAAACTAGCATCGTTGAACACATCAGATTTCAGAACTCCGGGCAATATAAAGTGACTAGATTGCAGGACACTTCAAAACAACCAAGATTATGAGCTTGGTGTTGCTTGAATGAACTATCAACTAGTAATAAACTTAAACATGATACATCAATAGCAACTTAACTGGTCTGATGAAAGAAGTGTGGTTATCTAGTTGTGACTTCAGAGTCAATTGGATCAAAAAGTCCTGGCAAAACACAGTAGACAATGTGACAGCACAGAACTTGTCCGTGTCTGGATAATATATATATCAAAAGCAAAAGGTATATACATGAATATGGTCACGATCAATTGATGGGATCAACACGGAAGGTAGAGGAAAGCTCACTCTTATATAGGACAAGCTAAGGGGCTGACTACTAAGGGACACGCGATTCGCCGCACGAGTCAGAGAGAACCCAGGTCGGCATCCGGAGCGGCTGTCCGGACTTGAAAACAGTCCGCCAAGGGCAAGCTCGACAACGAACGTCCGCGATGGCAGTCACTGTAGCACCAATATATTTGCAAATGTTGATATACAGGGGGGTAGCTATGACACGTCGTTCGTGACGCGCACACAAGCTGCAGTTTTTGCATAATAGAAACCGTGGCCAAGCTAGCGAGCAGTTCAGTTCAGCGGTGAGCGCAAGAAATCGATGATGCCGCCGTAAACAAACAGCCAGCATATCGGAAAGACCACCGACCGCGGTCCATCCCGCCCTCATCTCCGAGTTCTGAACCCCACAAGCCGAGGACCTACACGGATCGCGAGTGGCTAGTCAATCGAAGGGAGCCGCCCAGAATGGCGGAAATCGCCAAAAATCTTGCGCGAAGAGTGATTTACGTGTCGCCGACGAGGCCCTGCACTCGCTCGGAGATTAACAACCGCATATGGCACAAGTCACGGAGGTTCAACCTGCCGGACAAAATCCCAAGTTGTCATACAACGACGGGCATCTGGCCCGCAACATCTCGCATGAGTCCCGCCCGGAATGGGGCTCGAAATCATCGCTATATGATGAAGCAGATCAGAAGCGCAGGTAGATAGCGAAGAATAGCAAGACTTACCGATCTCCACGAAACCAGCCAGCTCAAATCCCCGCTTTGGCCGCCCAGCCCCGTGTTCCACCATCCCGCCCTCATCCCCGCCGTCTGTAGCCCCGAATCCACCACAGAAAGCCACCCGGCACCCAGATAGGTCATATATCGCCAGCAAATTGAGGAGCATCGCCCAGAACGGGCGGAGAGCGTGACGAAACACGCACGTCGAGTGTCGTCGCCGTAACGTTAACTTGAACGAGGCCATCCAGCCGCTAGAAAGCGCCGGAAGCAAGAGGCGCCGCAGCCAGGGAAGGGGTAGAGCCACCGGTGAGGAACAGCCGAACGAGCAACACGAGGCTCGTCGTCATAGGCCAGGGATGGGACATAGTGGAACGGACTCCGGGTTCGAAGCCCATGCGCGGAAGCCGTCCCGTGTCCGTCATGAAGGGGACTTGCTGCGTGGAGGAGTGAACGTGGTTGTTGTAGGCGAACTCCGCGGCTGGAATCAGCTCATCCCAGTCGTCCTGCTGATAGTTTGTGAAGATCCGCAGGTACTGCTCCAACTCCTGGTTGACGCGCTCTGTTTGACCGTCTGTCTGCGGATGATACGCGGTGGACGTGGCAGGCTTGATGCCGATTAGGCGCCAGAGCTCTCGGGTGAAGTCCGCGATGAACTGTGAACCACGGTTGGAGACGTACTTCTCTGGAGTCCCGTGATGGCGCCAGACATTCCAGTAGTAGAGGCGAGCCGCTCCTACTGCGTCGACCGTGGTGTGACACTCCGAGAAGTGGGCACGCTTCCCCAGGGTGTCGACAACGACCATGATCGCGTCGTACCTATGGGCCTCCGGAAGCTCGACG